TTTGCAAGGCATCCACATTGCTCTGGTATGTTCTACTGACCCCTTACTAAGTTTGAGAGAACCTGTCTCATGTGCATCCAAAGCAGCTCAGATCTTGGTATCATCCTCAAAATCTGTGCACTTCTGGCTGGGTTAAAAAAAGGAGATAATACTAGGAAGGTATGTGTTCCAGTTCTCTCTCTACAAAAGGAACATGCCTCAAACTCTTGGATGCTACCTTGGGGAAAAGCAGGCTGCATTTTCTGACCATTGCCATCCATACCTCCACCCTGTGAAAGCTTCTTACCTTGTCTTGGGGCAGTTTCCTGAAGCTTCAGCCCAGTGTTCAGAAAGCTTCCCATCAGGGGAGAGAATGAGCTTATGTGTTGCACCATGGTTTGAGCAGCGCACCTCCTCGTTCCTCTGCGACTGTGCGCTCTCTGCAGGACACAGACAGACAGACAGACGGTCACACTATGGCAGCAGGCACCTTAACCACCTTGGCCCCTTCCCGAAGTCTCAGTGTGCTACTGCTTTCTGCAAGAATTGCTGCTTCTCAGGAGGAAGGGAGACTGTGGAAGCCCAGGGCACCAGGAATAGTTCTCTGTTGGCTCTGGGGTGTCCTGACTCCCAGGGGAGCACTGACTTTGATCCTCATTCATGGAGAAAGTTTCCTAGACCTCAAGATAGTCTAGAATCCACAAAAGTCTGAAATAGATTATAGAGAGTAGTGTAGGTGTATCACTTGCTGAGAAATTTAGGTTTTGGGATTTTTAGTATGTTGTGGATGGAAGCAAGATGGAGGGCACAGGGTGTTGTCCTGGGTTTCTTCTTCATGCTTCTTCCTTCTTCTTCATGGGTTTGGGTGGCATTTTGTAACTGGGCAGAAAAGCCCACATTGGGGGTTCTTTGGGATCAGTTACTGGGTTAAAAGGGAAAATAATCTAGGTGTCAGTTCTGAATTGGATAGTTTAGTCTTAAAAGACCTTGTAACAAGAGATTGTTAGCCGTTTTGTGCCTTCGTTTGGAATGGCTGCCAAACTCACAGCAGTGAGACTGTTTTACTGATAAGAAATAATAAACACCTGAGTCCGAACATGAATTACTGTCTCAAGTGCCTTCAATCCAGACCCAGAGAAACCCACAACTGGAACCTCCACAGGAGACAAGTGTGTGACTTATGTTCTCAGGCCCCTTAGGGTTTCAGTGTCCTGCCTACCCACTGGCTTGCTTCATGACTCCGCACCAAAGGACCTTTCTCCATCTCTTAGGCTGCTGTGCCACCAGCTCCCAAGACAACCAGTGAAGATTGTCCCAAGACAATCAGCAGAACAGTCTGTTACTCTTGTACACCTATGGAGAGTGTCTGACACACTTTGGAGACAAAGTGCTTCCTGAGGCATCTGGCCACCCCAGACTTGTTACTTGGGGATAGGATGCCTTCAAGTCAAGCACTTCACAAAGTGCTGGAGAAGCAATGATAGAAAATTCACTCATTGCCTCTCTACAGCAGAAGGAAGTACCTCCTTGTCTATAGCTGAGGGGCTGCAGATACTCTCCCGACCTAGAGGCACCAGGGACTCAGTCACTCGCATGTAGCTCTGCTCCAGCACAAGTGTCTGAGACCCAGGATGTCCAAGAGTGAAAGGCGGTCATCAGCAGAGCCTGCCCTAATTTACCTAACACCTCTGGAGACTCGCTGCCCACCCTTCTCACACATCAGACACGGAACTGGAGAGGAAAACCACTGTCCATTCCCCGGCACGTTCTCCCTCCTTCCAGTCCCGCGCACTGGGACACCTTTAAGCCCCTCACGCCCCGTCCCCGAGGGGCCACCCAGGAGATTGCTGCACCTTCAGCGCTCCCACCTGCACGGACCCATCCCCGGGGGTCTCCCAGCGCCCTCCGTACCTCCGGTGCCGCGCCCCCGGCCCCGCTGCCGCCGCCGCCTGCCCTCCATCCCTCCTCGCCCGCCGCCAGCTCGGGAGTGCCCGGGCAGCGCCGGGAACGCCGCACCGGGGAAATGGAAACCGAAACTCATCAGCGGCTGCGGCAGCGGGAGGAGCAGCGGGAGGGATTCCCGAGACCTGGGAGCCCGGAGCTGGGAAACGCTGACTCCTGCGTGAAAAGGCATGGGCTAGTAGGCTCCGGTGGGTTCCCGGCTCCCCTCAGCCTGCTGCTGCTGCCCGGGTGGGATGCCGGGGTCTGCCATGTGCAGAATGCGCTTTTGACTTTATTATTCACTTCGGAGAGTGACCTGCCCGTGCCCATCCTGCGGAGGGTAGAGAGATCTACTCTGCTGCTCAGCTGTATCCCAGCCGAGCCCACGCACACACAGAGGGGCTGCTTGGCTGCGGGAAGTCAAACCGCAAGTGAAACCCTCGGTTTGGAAATACATCAGCATCTAAAAGCCATCTGCTTCCATTCTCGCATAGTCTCTGCTGAATCTCCCCCGCCTTCAATGACCCTGTGAGCTTCCTCCGTCCCAGAAAGACCACCCTGCCTGCCTCACCTCCCACACTGTCTCACTGGAGTGATGCATGCAGGACAATCTTGGTGATAAAATAAGGGATACCCGTGTGAACAATGAAACAGATCAAAACACATAAGATCACTTTTGTTGTATTCGTAATAGCTGCCACTGATTAATTAAATTCAATCTGTTTGTGAGAATTTTATGCTGCTGAATACTAAGAAGAGATTTTGGTAGGGCACTCTACAAAAGTCCCAAGAAACACAACATGAATCTACAGATTTACACTGGTGTTCACTGAAATTCAGTGGAAAATTCATTACTGAGACAGCAGGAGCATCTAATGTAATGTATTTGTGCAGCCTGTGGTGCACAAAGAGGCACCCAGAGGTCTCTGAGGTGAAGAAAAAAGGATGTGAGACTGGGGCATACAGTGAGTGACTTCTGCCCAGGGAGGAGCAACCCAGCCTTATCTCTCCCAGCCAGTTCCCTACACGCACTTTGCGGATCATATCTCCTTCCACAGTATGCAGGAAAGTCTCGAGATCAAGAAATACCGAGCTAGAGCAGTAATGCCAAAGCATCGGCTGAGAAGGGACACTAGAGGGCCTTCTGCGCCAAAGCATGAACTAAGGACTCCTCCCTGGGAGGAAAAACTGCTCCAAGCACTGCCTCCCGCCTGGCATGGAAAGAAACAGATTCGAAGGGAAGAAAGGAAAGCAAACGTGTTGATGTCATCCTTTCAGAGCTACATTCTTCCTTGCTCCAAGTGGACTGCTGACAGTGATTTCATGTGGGAAAGGCTCGCTCTGGTAAGCAGGTTCATTAAGCTCCCTGTGGTTCTCTGCCCAGGAGTGTCTGGGCTTGTGATACTCTGGTGAACAGGAATCTAGGGGCCTGTGAGGGAGATGTGTGGCAACTGGCAGGAGACAGCAAAAAGAGGTGAACTGTGCAAAGTGGTTTTTGTAGCGAGAACTGACAACCAAAATGTGTAAAACTCCTGGAGTCTGGGGTACTGCTTGCTTATGAGGGCAGCACTTCTCCCAGGAGAACAGCACTTCCAGAGTGAGAGGAATGGAGAAATCCAAGGACACATATGCAGACACCATGGTCCCAGGAGAAATGGAGGAATGTCTCACGCTGACCCCCAGGGAGCCAAGGAAGCATGTGGTGGGAGTCTGTTCCCACAGTGTCAGCAGCTGAACAGGCATGAGTGGGTCAATGCCTTCAGAGCAGATTTGGGAGCATAGGGAACTTGCAGCCCCTCTCAGCTGGCCTGAGTCACAGCTCCAGATGCTCTCTCCATGAAAAGGGACACGGTGACCTGGGGGCTACCCAGCAGGGCTCAGCCAAACCTGGCAGTGCCACAGTGTGGGACACCAACTACCTCTGTTCTTCTTCTCCCAGAGTGCCAAAGCAGCACCCACTGTGCAGAAGCAAGGCTGAACACCCTCTTGGCCATCCTGCCCTGCAGGACATGGCAATTCCTGCAGGCACAGGCAGGCATGAGGGCAGGGAATATGCTGTGCTGCTGCCCCTCTGCCTGAGGGGTTTATCAGCACCATGGTGCTTTAGGTTTGGCACTTTCAGGACACTGTTTTGACAGCAACATTGCCCAGGGCTACCTGAGGAATATTCCCAGTTTCTGCTGGTGGCAACAGTCCCCCACTCTAGGAGACTGTCAGGAGCCATTCCAGGGCAGGAGCCACAAGCTAAGGTAAAAGAAGGCAGCAGAAAGCAATGTTGTCCCAAAAATGGATAAGAGAAACCAGACAGCTCTCCTTTTCCTCCTTGCTTCCAATCCTGAAGGAACTTGACAGGCTCACCAGCACCTCTGCAGCACCCCCACAGCCAGTGGGTGTGAGCTGAGCATGGGTGGGTGGCAAGAATCAAGGTTGGAAGAGACCTTTAAGATCATCAAGTTCCCCCGTCCATCACCCGGCACCAGATCCAGATGCCTTTTAAACACCTCCAGGGATGGTGACTCCACCATCTCCCAGGGCAACCAATTCCAGTGCCTCAGTGGAAACTTTTCATCCTAACAGGTGAAAAGTATGTTTCAACAAAAACATATATATTGAAACATACATATTGAAAATATGTCTCAGTATCTAGTCCGAATTTCCTGTGCCTCAGGCTTAAAGCGTTTTTCTTTCATTCTCTCACTGCAGGCACAGTAGAAGAGACAGATCCCCCACCTCACTGCAACCTCCTTTCAGGGAGCTGTATAGAGGGATGAGGTGCCCTCTGAACCGCTCCCTCAGCCCCTCCTCGTAATGCATGCCCTCGATAGATCTTTCACAAGCCTTGTTGCCCTTCTCTGGACATGCTCCAGCACCTCAATGTCCTTCTTGTAGTCAGGGGCCCAGAACTGAACACAGTACTGCAGGTGCTGAGTACGGGGGGACAATCCCTGCCCTGCTCCTGCTGGCCACACTTACTGGGCGAGGCCAGGACGCCACTGGCCTTGGCCCTGGCACAGCTGGCTCGCGTTCAGCCGGCTGTCACCCGCTCCCCGGGGCTCTTTCTGCTGAGGCAGAAGCGGGAACAGCCGCGGTGCCGGCGCTGAGTGCGGGACAACCGCGCACGGCGGGCTCAGCCGGCGGTGCGGAGCGCCCCGCGGCCGCGGGATGGCGGCGCTGCCCCGCTGCCGTGCGCTGCGGGGGGACGCTGCGCCCCCGGCCTCGAGTGCGTGAAGAGCCGGCAGCGCCGCAAGGCGAAGGGCGGCCCGGTTCCCGCCGCCGCCGCCGCCGGCCCGCCCGGCGTGTGCCTCTGCAAGAGCCGCTACCCGGTGTGCGGCAGCGACGGGCTGACGTACGGCAGCGGCTGCCAGCTCCGCGCCGCCAGCCTGCGCGCACAGAGCCGCGGCGAGCCCGCCGTCAGCCAGCGCAGCAAGGGAGCCTGCGAGCAAGGTGCGGGGCGCTGGGCGGGCGGGTGCGGGACGGGGAGGGCCGCGCTGCTGCTCCCGAGCGCTCCTCCTGCCGAGTTATCCCGTCGGGGCGCTTCTTTGTGGAAGGGACGTGATTTCAGACCCGCCGTAAATGGACTGGAGAGTCCCAGTCGGATGGCGCTGCCTAAACTTGGAGTAACTCTTCGGACCAGGCGCAGAAACGCAGAGGAACTTGGGCACTCGCTGTTGGCTTCCAGCGGTGCTGGAACTGCACTCCCTCGCTTTTCGTACTTTGCCTGAAGCTTGCCATTTGGGCTGCTGTGAGATGGAACTAACGGGATGAGCTATCCAGGGGAGCGTTCTGCCCGGGATGGTTGCAAGCAGAGAGGAAAGGAAATGGTTAAATGGATGTGAAATCCACAGAAATTAAGAGCCAGCACTCACTGGCTTGCTCTGGTTCTAAATGAAAACAGTGACTTTCCTGTGAGCTGCACATAGCGGTTTGCACTTGCAGCATTTTCGACCAGGAGCTTGATTCATCCCAAGCTTTTTCTTAGGGATGGTGCTCAAGGAAGAAATTGTTCTGCTGGAGCCTCTACTAGAAATTCTGGCCTCTGAGAGTAGTTTTTGCTGGGCGGGAGGGAGGAGTAAGACATCGCATGCAAAGCATATCCTAAACATCTCAAGGACAAGATTGCAGCGCCAGTGCTGTTTTGGTGGAGGAGTGTTCTCATAAACACAGTATCTGCAGGTCACAACCTCCACCTCCTCCTTCTCTTGCTTCTCATAACTGAGGCCAAGTATTTTGCAAAAAAATGTTTCTGAAACTCCCAAGGCAGGCAGGAAAGACTGAGTGAGGATTGGGTTATGCGCTTTGACATTGCCCATTAAATGCCCTGTGTGGCTTTTCACAAACCTTGTCCAAAGCATTAGGCTTACATATTAGCCAGAAACAGTGTGGTACAGTATTAACTCCTGGAGGGAAGGAATTTCAGCCTTCGGGGCAATGTGGAATGAGATGAGAATGGCCTCAGTCTGTGCCTGTGTCTAGTAATTTGGAAAGAGCCTTTCCTGCCCAGTGGCCTCAGGAGTCCTAAAATGCGTGCTGCTTCTTGGCTCTGCCAGCCCAGACAAGTGAGCAGATGGGTTTGAAAGACGTCATGCTTCAGGTGTGCACTTTGAGAAGAAGGCTGTGTTCTCACTTGTCTTGCCCAAAATAATATGAGAGTTCATTGCAAAGCAGGTATTGATACTTGTAAGATACTGTCCCAACCCTTGGCTGCACTTCCTGGTGTCTGTCCCAGACTGGGTACTGGTTTGACCTGGTGGGGCTTTGATCCAGACTATGGAGACAGAGTTTGATGGGGTCAATGCAAACATGAGCTATTGGCAGGGGGCGTGGAAGGCCACTGACCTGCCAGCTTCCAACAGGTCCCACGAGACTTCCTCTGTCCTGTGAGCCTCACAGCAGCAGCTTTGCTGAGGAAGGGTCTGAGAGTGGGACAGCCATTCCATGCACAAACTGCATCCCTTCCTTGGATAAGGTCTCTTCAGGTGTGCAGATCTGCAGCAAGACACCTTTGCGGGCTGTTACCTGTTCAGGAATTTCACTGGAGCATGTGGTGCAGAGCAACTGGCAAAATGTTCTGTCCTCCATCATTCAGGGGACCCATTCTTCTTTTGGCTTCTGCTGCTGGGAGAGCTCAGACCCAGCATGTCAGGGAAGGGAGCAGGATGGACCTGGGCTGCTCAGCAGTGGTGTCACAACTGACCCTTCGGAGATTTCCCCCAGCTGCATGAACCTTCCTTGTGCTGAGGGCCTTCTTGTGATATGCACTGCTCTGTGGCTTGCAGCTGAGGCAGGGGCTCGCCCAACAACCCTGCTAGACAGCTGGAAGTATTTCTCTGTCCCTCAGGGCCGCCAGGCAGTTAGGAGCATTGGGTGGGAAGGGCGGGGAGTTGTAATCTTCACATGGATTTTGAAACACTGACAGGAGAGAACATCCATACCGTCAGCCTGACAGGATAGAGCCTTTTCCAATATCTTTCCAGAGAGGACATGACACTTTGGTAGGTTTCTAGAAGGACCTGAACATTGTGGTAGTCAAATAGTGGAAGTTCTGGTTTTTGCCATTTCCCACCAGAAATAAATGCAATCTCCTTAAGGCACTGTGCAGGGTGGGATCCAGCACAGGGAGATCACAAACAGGCAGGATCAGTCATTTTTGTGACAGTTTTTGCACAAAAGGAAGTCCTTGGGTGACAGAGCACTTGGGCTTCCTGCTTGTGACAGATGGGCTCTGAGGTGTCTGCGTGCCCTCACACGTCCTTTCAGTCCAAGAGAGAGCAGCTTTTCAAGACAGTTCTCTAAGAAGAGATCCAGAAACATCTTTTCAGCAGTGGGTCCTAACTGTGTTTGATTTCTCTTGGGATTTAAAAATTTTTTTTTGTTCAAATGGGGCTGGAGGGGGGAAGACTCGTTTTGCACATCCTGTTGGATCTTTCTTTGATATTAAATACTGAAAGGAATGAGCACGTTCTCAGCCCTGCAGAATTAGCCTTGACCTTGTCCTTGATTGTTTCCCAGACCTCTCAGATGTGATGTCTGTGTTTTGTACAGAAATCATGGAGCCAGAGAGAAAAAGGTAATTTTGCAGAACCAAAACTTCCTGCTGCAGGGCAGAGGAAGACACAGTTGAGAAGAGTTTGAAAGGACAGAAATAACCCTTGCTCTACCTGCACTTGGCAGATGGAGAGGTCCAACTGGTCCTTTCTGGAGTGGGTTTTATGTGGGCAGGACTGTTGGGGATGTCTGGAAAAAGGCATCCTACTTGATTGCCAACTCCTTGAAGCTGCCTGGCTGCTCTTGGTGCTATGCCAGCGGAAAAAGCTGCCTGCCTTTTGCTCTGGGGAGCAGGCAGTGATGCCATGGTGCTCCCTACTTTCTGGGCTCCTCCTTTGCCTCATGCTTGCACTCAGAGCTGGCCCTGGGTTTGCCCTGCTCTCTGTCAGGGCACCTGCATCCCATTTCTACCTGTGTATCCCAGCAGCCTCATGGTAGCTAATTGCAGCACTGAGGATGCAGGAGGTGAATGCTGTGCGGTTTTCCATCTCCTTTCCAATATTGCCTTTAAACAGATTGTCTGTTTGCTCTCTGCCCATGAAAATACAGCTCAGATCTGCCTCCAGGTCTTGCAGGCAGGGCAGGTCCAGACACAAAGCAGAAGCTTGCTGGTGGGGTAGGTACCCACCCCAGGTGGTCTGGGGTGCCTCCTCTGGTGGCCCCCTTGGCAGGAGGCGAGGCTGCTCTGACAGCTGGGGAGATGCCCTGTGTCACTGCTGTCACACAGCTGTGCACAGATGTTCAGAAGTGCCTCAGAAGTGCCTCTCAAAGAGTTGGTGGCTTCAGGAATGTAGGCTGAAATTCAATTTGCAGTGCACACACTGGGGCTGTTTGCAGCCAGCTGGGACCTGGGGCAGGAGGAGTGTGGTACCCACTGCCATGCGAAACCAGCTGGCATAAAGAATCAGGCCTGCGTGGCTCAGCTCAAGCCAGGCAGAAAAACAACCTCAAAGCACCAGCCCTCATTAAAAAAAAAGCTATCAGGATTCCTGATGATGATCTCTGAGCTGAAAAATACCAGGCATTGACTTGTTGCCTAACCAATGCAGGAAGGGACAAATACCCCTGAGTCTTTATTATCGTTACCTACTAGCAAATGCTTTGAGAGACATGTTGTGAGTGCTGGAAATACTGCCAAAGTTGCCTCTTATATGGTTTGAAGTCCCTAATGCTTGTTCCAACAGGGTTGGGGTGTCCAGGTTGTTTTTCTGTTGTCAGTCAAGACTTTCTTTTTGTGTTATGCTCCCTCCTCTCTTGGTGGAAGCCAAACTCTTGTACTTGCTCAGATGCAGTGTACCACAAAGCAGCTCTCAGCAGACTTCAGAGGACAGTGTTTCACTCTCAGGGGAACTGGTGCTGCTTTCTACCTACCTACAAAGACCTCCTGGGGGTAGAAACTCAGGGCCTCTCTGTGTGAAGGGTAAATTTGCTGGCTTGCCAAGCATTCTGCTTTTTTTCTGTTCATCTGAGTGTGGTTTAAAACTCTGTGGCTCCATGAAAGTGATTTTCCAGTGCTGGGAACATGCAGGGCTTTTCCTTATGATTGTGAGGGTTCACAGGATCCCTCCCACAGATAAACAGCAGAACCACAAGAGATTCTTGTACAAGAGACTGTAACCAGCATTAAACTTGTCTAAATCTCACCAGCAAGGAAATCCCAGTCACTGGATCTGTGCTGCCCCCTCAGAGATATATCTTTTTGACTTCCCAGAAGCCCAGACAGCATCCCTCATGGAAAGGGTTTTTTTTTTTTCGCTGAGGTGCCACACACCAGCTCTGGGGCACAGAAGAAGGTGGGTGTGAGGTTTCTTGGCTGTCCACAGGATTTAAAAAAACAGTCTGATGGATGTAGGATTGTGACTGCCAGGATCTTGTGGAGACTGGCAGCCCTAGGGGCAGATTTACCTCCCCTCCAAATTCCTGCCTGTATACCACATCAGTGGTTTTGCTTTGCTGATGCTTTACTGTTCCATAGATGTTCATCTGTGCTGCAAAGAGAGAAGTGCCAGGTTCCCACAGGTCAACTTCAAAACAAGAAACATGAATCACATCTGTTGGCTCATTCCGTCCAAATTCAGCTGTTGAGGCTTTGCCAGAAATATCATAGTTTTGAGGGTGGTTTGTTTTATTTTTTTAATCCACCACCAGAGTAGAGCAAAAACAGGAATTTGGGAAAAAAAAAAACAAACTTGTGGGAAATGGCAGACTGCTGTTATCACTGAGATTAGCTCATCTTCTCCTGATACAGCTGCCTTAAGTACAAAGGCCCCCAACTCTAGACCCTACAAAACATAGTTCATAGCCAGGCACATTCTGCAAGAAATTCTTCTAGATTTGTTAACAAGAGGTTCAGATTGCTGTAGTTCTTTCCTTCCATTCTTCCTTTTCTGGATTTTAGG